GGTCAACCATTAGTCACCCATCTCTTGTAAACAGTTCAAGATCCATTTATTGCTGCAAAACAGTCCAGTTTCCGAAACAGTTTTCACACTCTTGTCTTTTTTTTTTGGTGGACCAAGTCTTAGCAATCCAGATCACAACTGAGGAAGAGACTTTTTGGGTGAAGCCAACACCATCGCTGGTCAATTATTAGTCACCCATCTCTTGTACACAGTTCAAGATCCATTTATTGAAGTAAGACAATCCAGTCTCTGAAACAGTTTTCACATTCTTCTCTTTGTTTTTTGGTGGACCAAGTCTTAGCATCTCAGATCAAGACTGAGGAAGAGACTTCATGGGTTAAGCTGACTCAATGCATGTCTGCTATTAGTCACTTGTCTCTTGTACACAGTTTACAATTAAGCAGTACTCTAAATGACTGAATAAAAACCTTGGCTGACATATGGAATCCATCTGTCAAGTTGACACAATTTTGGAAAAAGTTTGTCCTGTCCTTTTAAAGCATCTAGAAAAATATTGTCATTTTGAGACCTCACGATGCATTCATAAGACTACTGATCATATGTACCATCTGCAATTTGTCTGATCTCCTCAGTTTGACCTGTTTGGAATGGGTGATCCTACCAGGAGTGCAAGACTCTGCTGATCTAGCTTCCCCCTTGATGGAGTGGTGAATCCTTTCACTACCACAAGATTGAAGGGAATTGCCTTTTATATTGTGAGTTTAAGTATATTTACCTCTGAGTGTGTGCTAATATCCTCTACCAACAGGTTTGTCTACTTTCAGTCCATGATCCATACTGCAAAAAATTTGAAAACAAACAAAATGATGAAAATCTGAAACCCTTTCCTGGAAGAAATGATACTTTCACATGCTATTCACCTCCAAACTAGCCAATCAGTGCATGTCAAAAGCACTCTTGACTTGTATGGGATATACTTAATATTGATTACAAAATGTGGTGTTTTCTTAGGATTTCCAGCCCTGAGAAAGGTCATAACAGCACCTGTGTAGAATTACAATATTTTCAAACAGCCAATCAGCTGCTGACATGTCAGTTACACCACACGATCAGGTAATGATGAATGAATGGCAAAGCTTTCACTATTCTCAATCCAAGGTAATTCACAGTAATTTTCTTGGATTGTAGCTGCTAACAACAATGAAAAATTCAAATCCTTTACAAACAGTGAAGTTTAAGATTTCTTGAAGCAGAATTCTTGATAAGGAATTTCTCTTCTCATGTTCAACTTGAAGAGAAATTCAATATTCATGCACACCCATGTCTTATCCTCTGTATCTCTCTTTGAGAGTAACAGGCTAACATTGTACTTCAACTGTACTGATGTAACCCTGATAACTTAATAACCTTTTCACTTAAAACAAAACTGCTTTCACTGAAAAAAACTTATTAAGCATGATTTGGTCAACCACATAACACCTCCAAAGTAACATTTCTGAAACATTTAATTATTCCTTAGAGAAACACCATTATAAGATGAGATCTTAAGTGGCAGGCAATTTCTATATAAAGTACTCAAGAACTGACCATATGAACAACTAATTTTCAAGGATTGGTTTATAAATCTGGAATAGTATTCCCACCAGCCTTTGTACACTAAAGCACTATAAATTTACAGACTGAGGTCATACATCATCAGTTACTGGACATTTCAAAAGGATACTCCTGTTGATGTATATACCTTAATCTACATATTTACCAACTCATAACTTTTTTAACTTAATTTCTTTGTTTATCTATTTTTGTATGTTGTAGGCTACAATTTCTAATTTGTAATTGTTATACTTTACAATTCTTTTTCATCCTTTTATCTTGATTACTGTAGCTACCATTAGCTATGATTAACTATCACAGGCCACCATTGGTACTCTTCTGGTGATTAAGAGAAAGGTGTAGCTTTCTTTTGTTATGTTTAAGCATTTAACTTTTGTTTACGCATTTGGAAAGTTCAAAGTCTACGGATATTCATTTTCTAACTTAAGCTCACTGAATGATTTACCACCAAAGGCTGGAAATCCTTTTAAAAATTCAGTTTTTTTATCAAATCTACTCATGGTAAAACGAGGAGAGCCCCAACAAAAAGACCAATCATATGTCAAAGTTGGTAGAAATGATGTTCATTATATTAATTTAATATAAAAAGTGCTAAAATTGTGGGTAAGACTTTGATTAAGTATTTTCCATTGCAATGTTAATAGTGATGTGAGTTTACATTTGATGAACAGCGGATGAAGAAGACTTCTTAAGACTCAACTTTGGATTTCTTTGATTTCTTTAAGAAAACATTTTTTCAAAATTTGAGCAGCTAAATTCAGGGTGCGGCTTATCTGCGGGTGCAGCTTATCTCCAGGTTTTTATGGTATTTTGTTGGTTTATACAGGCATCTTAATTAAACATGCACCAAATTTCAACCTCCATACATGACTGCCATAATGGCCCAAATGGGATAATTTTCAACATTTCCATATTTTGAAGAAAGGTAAAAGAGATAAAAGCTTTTCATGCCTATAGTCCATTTCCAAATTACCTTTAGCCCCATTTTTCAAAGCAAGTCCTGGTGCTCATCCTTTTCATTCATTCTTTTCATTCATTCTTTTCATTCATTCTTTTCATTCATTCTTTTCATTCATTCTTTTCATTCACAATTAAATTGAACTCATTTTCACAAGAATAGTTGAGAACCAGGCCTTAAAAAAGGGGTCAAAGATAATTTGGAAATTTCCTATTCTGAAAACAATTTACAAAAAAGTTTAATGAGCCAAACATGAAGATGTTTGTTTCTTCACCTCCATAAGCCAATTCTCAGCATTTTCAGGTGGACAATCTAATTACTTTTAGCAAACATACTGATCATTCATATGGCCTGTTCCTCTGTTTTATTATTTCAGGTTCATTTGCCTTTACATATCCTCTCTTGCAGCTCTAGCAGGTAAACCTTTTTTCTACCAATTGTTGTTAAACTGGGAGGGAGCTGAGCAATTGGAGTGTTTGATCTGCAGATGTATTCTGTACAACTCACACCAAGAGTGCAAGAGTTAACAGGTATACAATAAATTTTTATGTTTTACCCAATTTAACATTGAACTATGTTATCTAACAAGAAGAATGGAGGGGAGGGGGTCAAAATGTTTAAAGTTCTTAAACAATAAGTATTGTAAATAAAATTTCCCTTTAAATTCAAAATATCTACTAAATGCAGCCGGCATTGCTACACTGTATCCGAATCTCAGAAAAATTCTAGCCACATAACACGCTTACCTAGTAAATACAAATTATCAAAGGTACATGTACATGTATGTATTCAACTCATAATCAGACCACATACAATCTGTTTGTGTAGGCCCATACAATCTGTTTGTGTAGCCAACTGTTGTTTCATAGTGAATGTACCAGATTTACCATTTGCCTCACCTATAGTGATATATTGCTGACTATGTGCATAAATCATTGATCAATAAACATTGAATTACTTTACCTGTGGTGTATAGTCATCCTTTTGCCTCAAAAATGTTTTTTTTGAGCGATTTTGAATATGTCTGAGTTTGTAGTTAATGTAATGCATAAAAGAAAGACAAGGGTGGAAGCCTTGTTTCGAAAGGGTTCAAGCACCCGAGCGATTTTCCCCCTGAAAATCGCATCGCTCCACTTTCAAACTTCGCAGCATTAAGGTCAAAAGATGTATGATTCTCCTCCTACCTTCCAATCGAAAATCCATCCAAATGGACCGGAGCTAGCCCGCGAAGAAAATCAAAATCCCACAGTATTTGAGCATCTGGGATGCGTAGCAAGATTCTCGTGTGCCAGCCAGAAACCATCATGTTGATTTCCCTTTTCTGATTGGACGACCTTATTTTGAATTGGTCAATCAGAAATTGAATTGGAAGGTACGAAGAGAATCGTGCATCTTTTGACCTTAGTGCTGAGAAGTTTGAAAGTGGAGCGATGCGATTTTAGGGGGGAATCGCTCAGGTGCTTAAACCCTTTTGAAACAAGGCTTCCACCCTTGTCTTTCTTTTATGCATTACATTAACGATGAACTCAGACTTATTCAAAATCACTCAAAAAAACATTTTTGAGGAAAAAAGGACAACTATACACCACGGGTAAAGTAATTCAACGTTTATTCGTCAATGATTTATGTACATAGTCAGCAATATATCACTATTGGCGAGGCAAACGGTAAATCTGGTATATTCACTATAAAACAACAGTCGGCTACACAAACAGATTGTATGGGCCCCCTGTGATCAGACAACAACAACTTAATGGGCCACTTTGCTTACATCTAACGGAATAGTTTTCGTTCAATATGTTGCATGAATTTCAAAGACAAGAAATCTAAAAGCAGCATGTTTAAAACGAATAGTTCTTGAACAGGCGAGCTTACCTATGGCTGATTGTATCTGTGAATGTTTCAATAATGGTTGGTGCACGTGTGTGTTGACATCAGGTCTCCATTTCTGTCTTTAAGCAGCTATCAAAATCGTGTTTCCTTCATCAGAGTACCCAGAAAGGGGAAGAAATACGTACCCACGCCATTGGATACTTAAGCCGCCGTTTTCGTTGCGAATAAAAGGAGCCAAAGAAGAGTAAAATGCACTCTTTCTCGGGCGTCATCTTTCGCCGCCATGTTTGATTCATCATTTGGTCCCAGTCCCCAAGCACATCATAATACAAGTGGAGTTGTGATAGAAAACTTGGGAAGCATTACGCAGATAAACGCGTTTCCTTCAAATAGCTCGTTTAAACCACAAAGTTTACCGAAAAACAATCACAGTTCCGAGCACTCAATCAGTTTGGGTTTGGATTTTAAAGAATGAAAGCTGTATACAATTCATGGCCAGCTTCTGTTGGGTGAGACTCTGCGGTTTTTGATCTTTTGCGACTCGTGCACCTGTAACCCGAAAAGGGAGAGGTGGGAGAGGGGCTGGAATTATCGCATCACAAATGGGGCGCCTTGCACTTGAGCTTTCACCAGCTTACGTTCAAATTATTATATTAGAATCAACCATAAATCTGAAAAAAATTATCTTCAACATCTCAGTAAAGTGGTTTCACCGCATTTTATCATCGACTTATGCCCATGACGCAGAAAACAGGAAACAACGTACTCACGCAATTTCCTTTCCGAATTTCATTTGATTCACTTCTCAAAAAAAATAATAATAGGGGTCAATGTTTGTATCTGAGCAACTGCGCACCCACCCCTCCCCTAGTCCAACATTAACCATATATTGCAATCAGTTTATCGTTGTTAGGTTTGGGGAGGAGTGGGTGCACATTTGCTCGATGCTAATATTGATCTAATACTAGTCTTTCAAAATTCTTGATTTGTAACCGTCGCAAACCTGAGGCCACTGCAGACTACAATCACTCTTTGAAAATGAAACCAATAATTGGTTATTGGTCACGTATCACACTGAAGTTAAAATACCGTTACTAAATGGCAACAACCTAATTCTTGTTCCTTGAAATAAAATGTTTTACCCTGAATATTGACAAAAAAAAGCTAGGCTCGTTACATTTTCGAGGGTCTCTATCGTGTGCGGCCATGAGTGTGAAACTACCTAGCTTTGACAATGAAAATTTATAACTTTTTATATCAAAATATACTTCTACTGTTCACTTTCTCATTTGATACTACCTTACTGTATTAAAATGTAAATTTTAACAGAAAAAAGGTCATGTCAAAGAAATGCTAAAATACCGTTAAACTTAATATGATCAACTCAATGTAACAAGTTACTTAAACATGACTCAGGTCTCGGGCGACATGACATGACTTCGGGCGAGATGACTTGACTTCGGGCGACATGACATGACTTCGGGCGAGATTACTTGACTTGGGGCGACATGACATGACTTTGGGCGACATGACATGACTCCGGGCGAGATGACTCACGGGCGACTTGACTGGTTACCGTTTAACCAGTCAAAATCACCTTTAGTTTTCAGTCTTAGAGCTAAAATAAAGCTAAAGATATCATTACATTATATATAATTTCTGAACCTTTGTGGTCAAGCCTTACAACTACATATAAAAAGAATCAAGCTTCTGACCCTTAAAACCTTGACATCAGTATAGATATTCTCCATCCACACTGCTCTCTACAAATTTCTTAATGTGCGAACAAGGACAATTGGTTTAACAATCAAGAGCTTCTAGCTTCAGTTGGTGATCCCTTCCTCTTTTTTCTCACGACCTTAATTAACCTCGTTCCAAGGGTCTCTCATCTTCCCGCCCCCAGGTCTGTTCTCTCTCGCTCCAAGGGGCAGGAAGATGAGAGACCCTGGGAACGAGGTTCGACCTTACTGTGTGATTCATGGGTGATATTGTGAGGAGAAATTAAAAGCTAGACTCTTAGGGGTAAAGTGGTTAAAAACGGTTAGGAAGGCATCAAATAAAGTCACCTTTCAATGTTACTCCGGCTAAATTCTAAGAAAAATGGAAGAGAGAAGACTAAGGAAATGAAGTAAAAATGTCAACTTGGCATGGTAGACTCAGCTTCGAGGGCCCCCAAGCATTGTATTGTACAAAGTGGTCCTTTCACAAGGCTGTACCGCATCATTGTACCACAGGGGCCTTGATTTGGAGATGTTCATGTTCTGGTTCGTCCTCTTGCATGATCACCTGAGAACCATAAACATATTAAAAGATCTTAAATTTTTATCAAAGTTTACAGAGGAAGAACTTTTATTCAGAAGAAAATGAAACAAAAACTGCAATATCGAAGGCCAAACAACTCATACGTCAGTAAAAAGGTATGGCAATTAAATCCAAGACTAACTGATTGACGCCACGGGCAGGAACGTGTATGTAGACAAAAAAATAGAACCATTTTTAAATTGGAGGTAGTGCAGCTCGGAGATCTGAGCCCTGGTTTCACACCTGCGAAGGTCCCAAGTTTAAGCCGGCAGCGAACACCTTTAACAAACCAACTGATTTGAATCCAGCTAGTCGCGATTTTTGAATCTGTTATCCGGCATTTAAGTATATTTCAGACTTTATTTCTTCGGTCCACTAACGAGGAAAACTGTCAGGGATAAAACTGGTAGTTTCGCACGCATTGTTGGTACTTTTAATCGGAAACTTAAAGGTAGAATTCGATACTTACCCTAAAAGTTGAGAGTTACATCGTCACCAAATAAGACAAACGGAGCCCAGTACTTCCTATCAGAGTACAGAGCTGACTCTCTCATCTTTCTCATGGTCTGGTGAAGAGATTCACTTGCACTGAGTTTCTCACGAATCAAGAACTTGTAGAATATGTTCATAAATGCTTTTGTAGCTCCATCATCCACAGCCCAAAGAGACATCAGAACTGAACGAGCACCGGATCCTAGGAAAGCACGAGCAATTCCAACAATCCCTTCGGCTTTCAATGTCTTACCACGAGCACTATGACAACAGCTGAGTACCACCAGCTTGGCTCTGATACCAACTTGAGCTACGTCGTTCATTGTCAGTAAGAAGTCTTCCTTCTTGGAAACTCCAACGACAGACTTGTTGGGAGCAAGAGCTATTTCCCCGGTGTCTTCATCGCCATGGGCAGCGATGTGCACTAAGCTCACTTCTTGGATTCTTCTCAAGACATCCTCCTTTGTTGCCTCCTCTCCTATCAAACAAGGCACTCCCACCAACCTTGACACCATCTGAGCTTCCTCTCTGGCTTTAGGCAATGGATCCAGAGTCTTAACACATCCATTGATCTCTATTGGGCCAACAGCTGGATCTCCGACGATCAAAGCTCCACTTTGAGAGTGATAGCTGGCTGGCGAGTCATGAATGAGCTTCAGTGTCGTTAGTGATGGGATGAGGCGGACCCTCAAAGTTTCAGAAAGGTACTTTCCATTGTCATCCTTTAATGATGCAAAAGGTGTCAAGAAATAGCCAGATTCTATGGATATGATGATCTCCGAGCTGTCTATGAGGTCAAAAATGGGAGCAATGAAGGCAGCGTACGACTTGAACATGCAAGAAAAGATACGATATGACTTTCCTCCGATTTGTTTTATCCCAAGCTTTTGCACGGAACCTTTGTTTGGTTTTAACTTTTGTTCCAGTGGAGCAAATGGATCATTTTCATACAGTGAGGCCAATGAACGATCCTCGCATTGAATGTCATCCAAAGTTGATGAAGATGTATCCATCCCAGGCTCTTCAGTAGCACTACTTTCTTTGGATAGCTCTGTTTCCAAGTCTACATTAACCAGTCTGAATTTTACACTTACGCCTTTGTCAACGAACCACAGGGCGAAAATTTTCATTTCAAATGCTGCTATAAAGAGAAAGTTTCTTTGCTGCTCTTTAAAAAAGTCCTGAAAAGCATTTAGAGTTACTTCATTTAGGCCGGGAGTCCTTTTTATTCCGTACTTCTACGACATTAGATCAACAAGAGCGCGACTTCGTCCGAGCTCTAGAGTAAAAAGAGCTTGGTTGAAATTCGTCTCGCGAAGAAGAAGCCACGAAAGAGATTCATAACAAGAACAATTCCTACCATCCAATGAAATCTTGTCGGTTTCATCGTTAAGGGAAGATCGAGTACTTTGGTGGTTTTTTATGCTTTCAAGCAAGGTTTCACGGGCCTTTGAGAAGTTTCTCTGAGAGGAATATGCATGGCCTAAATCATAAAGAACATCGATTTGCGATTGATCTTTCTTTCCAGTTTCCTTCATCATCTCAAGTGCTTTGCTCTTATACAAGATCGCCTTCTCGTTGTGACCTTGAGCAAAATATACATCACCAAGGAGAAGGTAACAAAACCCTTCGCTTAGTTTTTCACCAATCTCTTTTGCGATTTTAAGTGCTTCCTCGGCGTACTCAATAGCTTGTTCATATTTTCCAAGCGAAAACTTCAAGCTCCCCATACCGTTTAAGGCTCCTATCTCTATTCGTATGTGTTGGGTTTCTCTACTGATCTCTAGGGCTTTCTCTAAACATTCGCGTGCTTCACGGTATTGACCATCAGATATATAAAAAGTGCTGATATTGTTGTAGGTGCTGGCAAGGTCCACTTTGTTTTCAGTTTTTTCGTCAACATCGATAGTCTTTTTTAAATAGCTCTTGGCTTTCTCATATTCACCAAGATTCTGGAATAGCTTGGATGCATTGCTATAGCATTTTCCCATGACTTGGAGATCCCCTAAATCTTCGCACAATTTTATGGCTTCTTCGTGATACAAACTTGCTTTCCCATAATCACCAAGGGACATAAATAGATATCCAAGGTCAGTGAGAACTCCAGCCTTTTTGACACCTGCTTCTGATTTGAGTTGAAGGGCTCTCTCAAGATATTCGATGGCTTTTTGAAACTGACCGAGTTTCATGTAAACCTTTCCAATAAAATACAGATTAGTTGCCTCCACGACTCTGTCTTGAATTTGTACACCAAGTTCAAGGCTTTTTTCGTAATATTCCAATGCCTTTTTGTAGTCACCACGAGCCTCGTACACTCCACCAATATTGTTATATGATGTTCCTTCCGGTTTTTTGTTTCTGAGTCTTTTACGAATCTCAAGAGCTTTTTCATGGAAAGAAAGTGCTACATCAAGATTTCCCAGGAAGTTATGATTCATTACTCCCATGTTGTTGTAGTATATCGCTTGCTCTGGCTCATTTCCAATTTCCTTATTTATTCTAAATGCTTCCTCATAATATTGACGAGCCTCTTCATAACTTCCAAGAGCATTATATACCTCACCAATGTTGTTATAAACCTTTCCCTTGAGATTTTGTTTTTCATATCTTGATATTTCGCTAATACCAAGAGCCCTTTGATAATGTTCCATAGCTCTTTCATACTGACACGCAATGTAAAGCGATCTACCCAAGTGGCAGTGACACCATGCCTCGTTCAATCTGGAACCAGTTTTCTCGTAGAAGTACAATGCCTTTTCTAGGCAGGTGATTGATTCTTTGATTTGTCCGAGATCATAAAATTTAAGACCACGTACCACGAGGAATTGTACTCCTTCCTTAACCTTTTGTCGTAATAAACGTTCGATCAGTATCACTGCAGAATACTGTTCACTCATTGATAGTTGATTCCATAATACGAGGCACTCAAAATAAAATTCAATGGATTCAGCCAAGTGATTCGTGCTTGAAAGAAAAACCGCCACAGCATATCCAGTGAGGAAGGCTTTTACCACTGGTATTTTGTCCATCTTTATGCTGTT